ATCCACCCCTCAGGTGTGCTCAGGAGCACAGCACAGCCAAACTGTCCAGGCACCAGCCAAGAGATTTGCATTACACTGAAACTACTTAAATGGGATTATTGAGAAATGACAGTGTTAAACAGCAATCAGTACAGCTACATAAAAGTACTGGATGCAACTGCTACAGAGAAACCAGCCACAGGAAAGTGTGAGCTACTTCCACATGAAGCATCCCACGTTGATTTTTTCCTTAATATCCCAGAATAGCTGAAAGCAGCAGGATCTGTCTCTGCTCTCCCCTCAGAGCAGCAGGCAAGGCTAACAAGGATGTATTCTCCCCAGCCAGGCTCCTTCACCACTGCTTGGATTTTTAAGTCCTCACTCCGCTGCTTTATCCTTCTTCCTATCAGGGCACAAACAACAAAAAGCACTAAACAAAGACACACACACACCCCTAGACATCTTTTGCTTCCACCTCCCCAGAGGTGAAAAGTGACTCACTTCAACCTTGTTCTAGTAGGGACACGGTATCAAAGGTCTTACAGGAATGAGATGTGCCAAGTATCCACAGGAAAGGCAGCCTGGATGCAGGAATAGCCTGGGTATTCTGTCACACTCAGGAACACACAAGGTATATTCGTTTACACCCAAGCAGCTGAGAAGATGGCACTGAGCATCTCCCACTTCAGTGCCCAAGCAGATCCCATGAGTGACAACTCACACTTTTTTTAACATATCCGTATTTAATAATTAATTCTATATAAGCTTTAACATAATACAAAACAACAAAGGATTTTCAACCAACTTTAAGTGGAAAAATGAGCACACAAAGCAAGTCTTCAAATGAATTAAGCAGCCTGAATACTGGGAATACGGTGTAGGAATCAATTTTGCTCAGCTAAGCTGGGGGGAGGAGTGGGAATCCGCGAGGAAATGCTAAAACAAAACATATGGCACCAAGACTGAAGCAAAAACACTCCATTTAGAGCTCAGGCACTTACATTTTATACAGGGTAGCGTTTTTCTTGAATGGGTTTTAAATAGTCAGGCGTGTGAAACTGGGTGCAGCCAGCACAGGGGCACCACAGGTGGCAACCAACACCAGGCTCTAAAAAAAGAAACCTAAAAAGTTATCATCGGACAAGAGCCTCCCATTCCAGCCTGGTTTTTACATCCCCAGACTCCTGTTGTACCACCTGGTGAGCACCTACAGGCTGCTCTTTTTCAATGGCAGTGCTTTCTCGGTGCGAGACAACTACAAAAGCACCAGATGGGTGACTACAGACATTTTGACAAAATTTGGGGAAGTGGAAATTTTAATTTTAAGAAGTTCCTCTGTACCTGCAAAAGAAAATTTCTCCCACACGGGCCACATATGCTCGCATGTAGAACTTGGGAAGAACGTGGCTAGAAACCTAAATATTCAACCCCAAAAGATCAACGAGTTCACAGGCAAAGCCCGACTCCAAAGCCACACGAACTGCAGTCATTAAAAATCCTAATCATTCTGTAAATGGTGACTTCAATTTTCAATTTAGGCTTGATTTCTGAGGGGATAAGAAACTCCCACCACATCTGCTCATGCAGCCCGCGCCGTCCTCATCTCGCCGCGAAGGAATCTGTCAGGGGAGAGAGGGCACAGGAACTGAGCATGGGAGCACTCCCACCACTAATTTATCTCCTGCTTCTGGCACAGGCTGTTTGCAGCAGAGGGGATGCTCCTAAATCAAACAGCCACAGCCAGCACAGCTCCCATCTTTCCAAAAAAGTAGCAAAATGAGAATGACCCAGTTCCAACCAACTTCACTACTGCTACCAGCGTTTCCAACAGGAATTGTGAGATCCAGGGGAACCCACGTGTGTGAGTATCTGATCAGCACAAGCAGCATGGGGTTGAATTTTTTCCGGGCTTCAAAAAGAAGACTGCAGTGATTTATATGCAATCCACGCTCAGATGACTGACCACCTTCACAACCACCAGCACAGCACAGACTACATTCTGCTTTTTACATGAAAATCTGAGTATCTCCAGAGGTCTTATTCACCTGCAAAACCATGGCTGTTCTGGGAGTACATTGTCACTGAAATGCTTTACAAATTGCTTCCTCTACCCCACCTCCACTTTATCCTTTTTTAACTTGAAGTCAGGTTCTCATCCTGATCAAGGTTCCTTGATTCAGTGTACTAGAAGTTATTTAAGCCTAAGGAGGCTACTCAGCAGTTATTACCACTAGCCAGGCATAATCAACACAGATGTTAAATCCATACCTTTTAATGGCATGAGTCATCCCCAGTGCTGAGTAATCCCTTTTTTTTTTTACAGTATTAGCCAGAATCAGAAGGGCAGTTTTACAGAAGGAGCTCTCTTTGCAGGTAGAAAACTTGCACTTTTAATTCCTGCACCAAAATGGTACGGAACCACCCACATCCAATAAAAGCCACACATGGCTATTTTCAGGCAAAACCAGCACAAATGAAGGAATTAGACTACACATGGATTTCCTTAATTCCGATGTGGAAAAACAGCTGAGCTGGTAATCTCAAAATTTACTCTAAATTTAAAGAGTAATTTTTTTTTTTTTTTTCCATCAGGAAACAAGTTAAATCCTTTAAAAGCACCAGTGCAAGGTTCATCTCCTTCCACACCAGGACGCCTCTTTGTTCTGTGCTGAAAGACCTTTACAGCTCTTAGTTAGTAAAGAGAGCTCAAAAAAAAAAAAAAAAAAAAAAAAAAAAAAAAAAAAAAAAAAAAAAAAAAAAAAAAAAAAAAAAAACCACTAAAAACCCCTTGAGGTTTACAGGAGACATGAAGCAGGAGGCAAGGCAGTCCAGCTCAGTTAACACAGTGACATTTTGTCCCACAAATCATATACGTGCTAGGAAACTTGCGTCACATCTCCATCCAGGCCGCTGGCAGACACACCAGTGTTTGAAATGAGTAAAGGGGGGGCGGGGGACGGGGAAGTTAAAAAGAGAAACCATATGTTTGCAATATACACATCTCAGTGTACACTCCATCACACGCCAGGATGCCAACACAACCCCTCAGTGAGCAGGAGACATCCAGAAACTCGATTTGCAGAGGGACAGGGAAAAAGATGGGGAAGAAATTAAGTACTTTTTACTGATTCTTCCCCAAGTTCTGTCATTTAAAGTGAGACAACACATCTCTGTGCTCCTCCTAATACTCTGAAGTGGGACGTGTCTCCAACAGCAAGTTCTCGCAAGAGCAGAAGTGTATTTACATTCCCTTTTGTTCCCATCCCACCCTGCTCCCCAGCTACAAAGGGGCAGATTGTCCATTTGCTCCCTGTCCTTGGATACTCAGGTCCAAATCCTCGCTTTGTGCCACCACAGCATCCTTTTGCAGGCTCTCCAAAGAAAAGGAAGTATTTCCTACACAGACAAATCCAGTTCTCTCTCCCCACGAAATAGGTGAATGGGTGGCATGTTCTGCCCTTTCCGCCCCACATCTGTATCTCCTGCTCCTCAAGGCGGCGGAGCATCTTCCTCCCCAGGGCACGTTTTCCAGAGAAGGTTTAAAGGGTTGGTCAACAGGATTACACCTTCCCCGTCTTTACAGAGTTTGTCTCTTTGCTAAAGCACTGCTGCTCCCTCTAAGCAAAGGGAGAGGACAAAGCCTGATCCCCACGGAGCAACAGGGATTTCCAGAAGGATTTCCCCCCCTCCACAGCCTTAGTTCCTTCCTACTTTTAAACAATGCCAAGTATTTAATCTCTTAAAACAGCATTCTCACAAACTCTCCCACCTTCCTTAACAGAAAACAAGCCTCCCCACGAGGCAGAGATGGAAAGCCTGGGCATGACAGCCCTACGTCATTCAGAAACTTCAAATAAAAGCACTCTTAGAGAGATTACTCCAAAAATTAAACTCCTTCCTAAAAGCTTTGGCCAGGAGCCTGCCCTGCCACCTCCTGCTTTATTCTGTGCCTCCGGAAAGCGAGACGGGAGGCACTGACCTTAGAGTCACCTGTGGCACCACCTCTGATGTGTCACACACTCGCCCCAGAGCAATATATCCCTCAAACACACCCCAACGAAATGGTCGAGACAGCCAATAAATCAGTACAGCGGGAGGCCTTTGGTAACTGGGCAGTTTAAAGTCAAGAGAGAGTGAGGAAGGAGGCAAAAAAAAAAAAAAAATCATTTAATGGAGAGAGCAAGGGCTAGGGCCTCGAGCTGTGAGGACAATGAATGAAAACGCACAGCAGCAGCAAAATCCCAGGATAAAAGGCTCGTTCGGCGGCTCTACCAAACCCTCCACGCAGGGACCAGAGCAACGCGGGGCTCCAAAAGTGCTGAGAGCGGCGTGGCCGCCCCAAAACGACCGGGGGTGATCGAGCCAAGCCGCGGAGCTCCCTCCTGGTGACCCCCTCACACCCAGCACACCCCGAACCACACCGTGGTGGGGAGCAAAGCCCCCCTCCCAGCACGGACCCCGTCCCGCTCCCCCCGGCAGGATGACACACAGACCCTGCCCAGAGGGGCGGGCAGGGAGCAGGGATTAACACCCTGACGGTGTGGGGGGACCCCGCGACCACCCCAACCCTCTGCTGGGGACGGGGCAGCCCCACGTTCCCCGGCGAGGGTCCCTCACACACGTCAGGAAGGGCAGCAGAGGGGACCCTCACACCCCTCAGGGGAGGGGGGACAGACCCCTCACACCCTGGCTGAGGGGTGGGGGGGGGTCACACAGTCACACTCCTCGGCGGGGTGTGTGTGACAGGACCCCGCCCTCAGCACAGGGGTCCCCCAGACCCCTCGGGGCAGGGGAGACAGACACCCCCCCCCAACACACACACACACACCATCTCACAGCTGAGGAGGAGGATCGCCCAGCCCCACTCCTCGGCGCGGGGTGTGTGACAGGATCCCCTCGAGCTCAGGGGGGTCTGACCGCCACCCCCGCTCCCCTCCGTGGAGACCCGCACACCTCCTCCCCTCAGCGAGGAGCTGCGCGCACCCCCTCACCCCCCCCTCCCTTCCCCCACGGCCGCTCACCGATGACCTCCTGCAGCTCGTAGTCATCTTTATTGATGGACCAGGGCAGCGCGCTGGGCTCCTCGGCCATGGCCGCGCCGCGCCCGCCGCCCTCCACGCCGCGAAGGGGAGCGACCCCGAGGGGGCGAGGGAGCGGAGAGGAGGCGCCGCGGGTGCCCCAGCTGCGCCCCCCGAACCCCGGCCGAAATCCGGCCGAGCCCGAGCCCGAGCCCCCTCCTCCTCCTCCTCCTCCTCCTCCTCTCCCGCCGCTACCGCCGGCCCGACTCCGGCCGCCGCCGCCGCCTCCACCTGCCCATGCCCGGAGCGCCGCGCGTCACCCGCGCGCGCCCCGCCCGCAGCGGACGGGGCGCCGCCCGCCGCCATCTTGAGCGTGGCTCGGCGACCCTCCCGCCCGCCGCCACGACCGCGGCTACGCCACGGTTCGCTCGGTTCGCCGCCACCGCCCTCGGGGGACGGGCGAGTGAGGGGAGGAGGAGGTATGGAAAGCGAAGGGTGAAGGAGGAGTACTTAAGGATGGGAAGGGCGGGGATGCCACACACAAGATGGCGGCGGCGCGCAGCGGACCCTCCCTCAGGCGCGAGGCGGGAGGGGCTGGCGGTTTAAGGCGCACTGCCTGCGGTGATTGGCTGCCGCCTGCCGGATCCGCCGCTCCTATTGGTGGAGCGGCTGTCAATCAAGCTCTGCCCGTCTCCAGGGTCCCTGTGCCCGCGGGGCCTCGCGTTGGGCTCGGGCCCGATCCTGCCCTGAGGGGATCCAGAGCCCGAGGGCGGGTGTGGAGGGGGGCCCAGGCGCGCATTCCGTGTTTAAAAATAGTCCCCAGGGTGTGGCGGATCAGGAGGTTTGCGGTTCTCGCTGCCTCCGAGAAGGAGGACAATATCTTTTTCTACTCTTTAGGGTATCCTTCTGCCTGCTCCACGCTGCAGTTCCAGCGTTCGCGGATGTGTCCTTGCATCCTCGTGGGGATGTCCAGCACCCTCATCCTGTGGTTTCATGGCTCCGTAGCTGGACCTTTGTGGTCTGGATGCATTCAGGAGTACATCTGGTGGTCACTGCGGAGAACAAACTGGGATTAAAAGAGTGAGGAATATGAGGCTGAGTGGCACCATGGACCCACAAAGGCTGATCTGTGTGTGTGTGTGTGTGTGTGTCCATACATATCCATATATACTGCGAAGCCTAGCCATGATGATATGATGACATACATATATATATATATACTTACATATATACGTATATACATTTAAAATGTTTGCAGGTTGAGTATCTTTTTTTTCCCAACATAAAAAGAGATAAAACAGTATCTCACTGTCACCGGGTTCCACAATAACCATCAGGAGAACTGACTGGGAATCTCAGTATCAGATTTCACTCTTCTCTGTTGGTCACCGTTCTTCCTGTGTGGCTCGATGTCAGGCACTTCTGCGAGTCAAAGAACATCAGTTACATGTATTTTTAGCCTATTAGGACAAATTCCTGAGATGCCTCTGGTGAACCAGGCTTTGTGGAGGGCCACTGCCAAAGGCACGGTCTGACCACAGTGTTTTCACTTGTGCACTAATGCAGGACATAACTCATTCCCATACCCTTTTTTTGTGTCCTACAGAAGCCCCACAGCCCCATCTCACTGGCTGCTGTGCAGGCACTCCACAACTCTATCATAAGGCAATTCCAACTGAAAACCTGTTTGTTTTCCTGCTTGTCTGCGTTAAACATTCCCCTGCTGAGCAATTTTTAGTATTTCCTAAATATGCTTTAATTACTGCTCAGAACTGTCTCTGTGATCTTACAACCATGTTATAAAAGGAGTTTACATAGCAATTAAAAACAGCTTTTACCCCAGAGCACGCACTCGGGTAGCCAGTGTCGTATTTCTGATAGCTAACAGCATGTTAGAAATGGATCTGAGCCAGGCATCAACAACAAAAAGACACTTATAAGGTTAATTTTACCACAGTGGTTTTAAATTGAGAACCATCTTTTGGATTCTCTGATTTTGGGCTGAGAATCCTCGGCCTGTAGGCAGTACCAAAACTCTGTTTCTTTAGACCACTGTGGCAGGATTATGTCCACAATGAACCTTGTTCTTTAAGAATTACCCCAGACTTTGATTGGAATTAAAATTTAAAATGTGCCCTGACAAGACCACCAGTGGTCTCACTTGCACAAAGAGTTGAGTGCTGCATTTTAGTTTTCCAGCTCTGCAATGAAAAATGCATTTCCACATTTTTAACCCAAATCTCTCGTTCGCACAGACTCCAGCTCCCATAAATTTTGTATTATTTTTTAAATGAACTCAGCATTTTTAGTCCCTCAAAAGTCAGCGGTTGCTGTTTCATTCATTCATTCATTCATTCAGCAGGTTATTCCAACCTGAGTCTGATGACAGATGAAAAAATAGAGCTGGATTCCACAGAGCTTTTATTCCTTAGCCAACTTTAGGCCTCCAAGCAGCAGTTTCTCCTTTTTCATCGTTTCTGCTCATCCTACTTTTCCCAATCCGCTTTATTTTGCCTGCCTTGTGTAGGCTGTGAGCTCCTCAGGGCAGAGGCAATGCCTCTATTTATAAAAGAGCCCGTGAAGTGGTGCTGCTGAATCAAGTGCTCTGTTGGAATAACAAGAAATTTTAGTGGAAATCTGAAGTGGAAAAGCAGTTTCCTGGTGTATCCACCTCCTCCCTGGACTGGGCTTTAGAGAAGACTGAGAGGTGGAAAAACTCCAGACGTCCTTCAGGTGGAAAGGCTGGAGCCTGAGAAAAAAAAATCTCAAGAGCTGGGTTTCCTGATTTTTTTGACTTCCAGTAAAACAGGCAGTGCCCTTCTTCCATGCATTGGGCTGCAGAGTAGGGGCTTTCTCCTCACTCCTGCTTTTCACTGATGTCCTGGGGCTCGTGTTCCACTGTGAATGGCCTTGGCACACCAGGCACACGGCACATGCTCTCACACAAAACGCTCCCCTTCTCGTAAGGCACATGGTTTCCTGCCTTTCTGGGCCAATTACTTATTGTTCCAACGAAACTTACTGGCACTGTGCAGCTCTTCGCCTGGTTTTTTCCACCCATGGAATCTTGGCTGTCGGAAAGCTGATGTTCAGTGCGCAGATTGGTGATTGTGATGCTCAGCACTCAGACAGACATTACTGCCTTTAGTACCTGGAAAGGGTTCCTTGATTGTTGATGGGTTTTATCAACAGGTTGAGGGGGGTGAATCTGCCCCTCTGCTCCTCTCTTGTCAGACCCCACCTGCAGTGCTGCCTCCAGCTCTGGCATCCTCAGCATAGGATGGACATCAACATGTTGGAGCGAGTCCAGAGGAAGCCATGAAGATGCTTCAAAGGCTGGAACCCCTCTGCTCTGGAGACAGGCTGGGAGAGCTGGGGGTGTTCAGGCTGGAGAAGAGAAGGCTCCAGGGAGACCTGAGAGCCCCTTCCAGTACTTAAAGGGGGCCTATAAGAAAAATGGGGACAAACTTTTTAAGAGGGACTCTTGCAATAGGACGAGGGGAATGGCTTTAATCTGACGGACAGTCAATTAAATCAGATATAAGAAAGAAGTTGTTTGTAATTAAGGTGGTGAAGCACTGGCACAGGTTTCCCAGAAATGTGGTGGATGCCCCACCCCTGGAAACATTCAGAGCACGGTTGGACAGGGCTCTGAGGAGCCTGGTCTAGTGGAAGATATCCCTGCTCACTGCAGAGGGGTTGGATTAGATGGCCTTTAAAGGTCCTTTCCAACCAAAACTTCTTCATGATTCTATGACCATCATCACAAGATGAACATTAACTTCATTCACACTCGGGTTGTAGAAAACTAGTTTAAACTCCAGTTTGTGTATCCAGGCCCTGCAGATTTCATCTTTCTAGTTGTGTAGCCTCTCAGATAAGTCATTTCCTTCTTGTTAGGGTTGAAGTTGCTCTTCCAGCACGGCCATGCAGAGACATTTGCTGTCACAGCTCGGTGCTGTTCGGGGCCGCAGCACTTATTGGTTCAAGGCTCTTTAAGTCATCACAGCCCTCTGTCTGTGAGTGCCTGTGCATTGGCTCCCACGGCTGGAGCAAACAAGGGCAGTTAACGTGCCTGTGGAACTGCCTGGCACGGGCCTGGCTTGAGGGGAGCCCAACAATGCCCATTTTATTGCCCTCAGAGCCGGGCAACTGTGCGGCGGCGAGCAGAATGCCTGACCTTGTTCTGCTGCAAAATCCGCCCGCTGTTCTTTCTTCATGGAAACACTTCCAGGTTTATTGAAGGGACCTCACTCTATCAAACAGCAGCTGATTATTTCACAAAGTACAAGGCACTTTCCTCTCTAGTCAACAAAGGCAGGCACTGCAGTTGTTCTCCAGAGGTTTCTCTTTGGGAGATTTGCTTTGGGTTTGGAGAAATTAAGCGAGGACCCTGCAGCAGAGGAAGGAGCAGTGCTTTAAAACCCTCCAACTAGAGCAAGATCTTAATAGTAGTTGTTTTCAAAACACAAGCCAAATGCCAGTCTAAACCACACCTTCCCAAGGGATCCCGTGTGCTGCTCTCTATCTCCACCCCTTCCCTGAGCCCAGGTGTGCTAAGTCATTTTAAATTCAGCTCTGAGGTCACTTTAAAGTCAAGTAGCTGAAGGCCTGGTTTTAACAGGTGAATTCTGGTTTTCACAGGGTGTTTACTGAAACCACCTTTCGCTCTGCAAACACACTTCCCGTCACCCTGCCTCTCAACAGGAGCTCTGTGCTGTTCTCTTACTTCCTCCACTGAAAATATCACCCAGATTTTAAGCTCCAGGAAACAAGTGAAGAGTTTTTGACCAAGACAAGTTTTTCTTCTTACTCTTTTCTCATCAGTTTATGATTTTGTTGTATATAAAATGAAAGCCAGTTAATCTTCTCTGTAACAAATTAAAGCTTTGCTGCCTCCTTCAAATATAACATAAAATTGATGCTAGGCTTGAGAAATAATTATAACAAGATCTTGATTATCACGTACCTGAACCACAGCTTAATAATCAGCCCTCTCTCTGGTTTACACTAATGCTTTCTTCATACCTCTTTGTCTTTACAGAAGCCAATGAAAAACACTTCACATTTTTGCGCCTCTTTTCACCCTGAGAATGTCACAGCTCCTGAGGACAGAAAGGTTTTCCTTTTCTCCATCCTAAAGCACTTTCTAAGCAGCTGAGCAGGACAGGGGA